TTCTTCTAAATGAAGACCTTCTAACTCCCAGGGCAAGGTTTAAATGGTTTAAATTATTTTTTGTGGTTAACGTTTTTTAGCGAGTTAGTTTTCTACGGGATGGAGTCGCTAACTCCATGCCCAACCCTCCTCCTTTACCCGGGCTTGGGACCGGAAGTAACTCTAGAAGAGCTACAGGCGGAGTTTTTAATTATTGTTTCGTTTATATTCCATTGGGATAAGTGATTTCAATAATTCTTCTTATTTTGATTCCCTCTCATATTCGGACCAGATAGTTTTCAATTTGGTCATGTGTTAATAAGTATCGGTAGATTTTTTATTTCTCTGTTTTACTGATTTATCGATGGTACCATTTGTATTTGCACATTTTGATTTCTGATAAAGCAGACAAATATACTTATTTTCCTATAAGATGGTGGTTGATGGTAGTTGACAGGAAACCTTGGACCTATGCTTCTTGCTACTTGGCACTCGTCAGCAAGGTGTACCTATAATCTTGAGGGAACTGATACTCTCTGACTGATTCGATCCTGTGTCACCCAGCCACATTGCCACATCGAAACTTCGTCGATAGGATTCGATCTGCATTGAGAAGAACCTGACATACATGGCATTGATCACCACCCAGTAATCAGTCAGTTGTAAATACCTATTTTCCTATATTACTCGATTAATAATGCCTTAAATATTTTACACTTAACTAAGTGATAATGATTTTTCAAGTAATCGAAATAAATGAAAAATCATGGTGAGTTTAAAAAAAACACAATTAATTATTGATTTACAAGTGTTTATGTAAAAGGAAATCATTAGAGAATTAATTCGCAAGACCATTTGCAAAATCAACTTTAAAATGTATATGTTAATGCTAATAGTAGTCATCCAGATAGCGTTTAAATACTTCCTCAGGCACATAATGTATGTTCACAGTAAAACATCAGCAAGTTAACTAGTTACAATGTTGTGTATGTGTACGTAGGTACCAAAAACGAATAATAAATAAATAAGTAAATAATTACACTACATAACTACCAACTGGATAATTTTGAAGGGATTACATTCTTACCAATCAAACATTGACAATAGATAGGATGTGGGAATTTAAGTCATTGTAGGTAACTGATTTTTTAGTTGATCGAATGTACCTCAAGGAAGTTCCAGACTCCTACTTGAAGCCTATCAGGATTTCATCAAAAAACGTTTCACAGACTCGATGTAAACAGACTAAATTAAATAGGCAAAGATATTACTGAGTGTGAAATTATAATGAAAGTAAATAAATTGACTGAATAATACAACTCAGTTACAAATCACAGATTCATATATTCGATTAAAGTTTTTGTATGATTGCTAACGATAGCTCAGACCTACAGTTTAATCTTTGAAAGTTGGTTTATTTAATGGATGAGCTTTTTCATTATGACTATTATGTGTACTTCGTTTTAGATTGTTTGTTTAGGTAATACATTTTTCACATGTGTTACTGGAATGAAAGGCATCAGCCGGAAACCTTTAATCTTTAGGTGGACATTCTGTTGATGTGTTAGCGGTGTATGTGTGATCATTTCCGGTGCCACAATGGATTGATTATAATAATCTACAACTAGAAAAAATCAAACGGAACTAGGGAGCACGGAACAACAAAAGCAGTAATTACTACGACCATCTTGTTTACGACAGAATCCCCCACCTTTTAATAATTGTCCTATCATCACAACTTACCCCGCGCGCCATCACTGCTAATAATTTGAGCTCAAAAAGTGTTATTCCTGTTCTCCTGAAAACAGATTATAGATTACATGTTAGAGCTTTTAATTCCCGTGACCTCTCTAGTGTAGGTATAACATTAAGTTCTAAGGCAGAACAGGCTCTCCGAGACTGGATCCCAATACACAATCGCTTGTTCATCGTTCAGCTAAACAGGACGGTACAAATTCAGAAATATGGGAACGTATGTTGTTGCTTTTTCTTTGACTACAGCTCGGACGAAGTTATTGATGGATTTTATATTAAACTATTCAAAGTTCGTCAAAAAGCTAAGTGCTCTGATATAGTAATAGTGGTTGGTGGTTTCAATAAACCAAACCAGAAGGTACTTATACGGATCTTATGGTGTCGCGGCTCAGCAAACAGATAATAGTGATCGTCTGCCGCAACTATGCTGTGATAACAGTCTATTTTTGCAAACAACAAATTTAAACATTAGGAGAAACGTCATTTGACGTAACGACCTCCACAATTGACTCATCAATGGACTTAAACAGATTTCATTTCTCCATTGAGGAATATCACTCATTCTGGAGCACATGTTTAGACTCAGATGATGCTCTAGTTCAAGCACGTATTTGTAGGAGTCAGATTGAATGTAGAAAAGCTATAGCAAGAAAGTCTCTCAAAATTCAACTTAATAATGAAAAAGTCAAGAATATATTTCAGGAACAATCAAAGAGTTAGTTAAACACAAAAATGATATCCACCCTAAATTGGCTCGGTATGATATCCAAATGGCCTGGGGAAACAGCAGTGATATTGACTAGCAACTTAAACCAAAATGTTTGGAAAATCAGTGGATTTGAGTGACATCCACAGAACTGGTAGATGCTCGGAAACTCATCTCGTTTGGCTCAGAATATGACAAGGAGTGGAGAACGCTAAAAAGTAGCCTTATAAGAAAGCCCACATAATGATCGTAAGCAGTGTCAGGTGGCGAAAACAGAAGAGATGGAAAAGGCTGCATCGAGATGTAACAGTGGAAAGTTGTTCAGACTTATCAAGAAAACAGGTATTAAAAATACAACTATCAGTGGAACTATTTCGGAAAGAACAGGACTATTATTCATTCTCAACCCAGGAGGTTAAACCAATGGGCAGAACACCTTAGTGAACAGTTCAACTGGACTTCAGCCACGTTTCAGTTACTTAACATCTCCAGGCAGCCTGAATATCGAGTTGATGTGAGTCGTTTAACCCTTAGTGAGGTTGAAAATGCTATAAACAATCTAAGGCGAGAGAGAGCAACAGGGCCTGATGAATTAATCCCTGGAGACCTTAAGAATCCAGATCCAGCATTAGCAGTTAAATTAACTGAAGTTTTAGCTAGAATCTGGGATAACAATCAATGTACCAACGCCAAGGTTTGGCTAGATAGTTCCAAATAAATTGAACATTGGGTCGAAAGTTATTTATAAATACATTAACTCTAATGAACTGACTTACATAAAGCCACAAAACGTTAGAAATACGATTTTTCTACATCCCTGCTGTCCACTGTATCCCTTGCTTACCCCAGGTGTTGACGTCTTCGTAATCCAGTCGATCACCAGGAGAAAGTGAAATGGTAAGAGTAAGCAACCTTGCCTGACACCGGTCTGTACTCGCTAAACAACGCTAACCAGAAAAAAATAATTCAATCCATTTAAGCTCTGCCCTGAGAGTTAGGTCTTCATTTGAATGAAGTACTTTTAAAATTTGTTTGGGCTCATATCGGTATAATCCCAAAGTACTAATAAGGAACTCAAACCCGCCTCAAGTATTTGACTATTTATTTACTAGACTGATGAATAAATTCCTTACATTAAAGTAATGTCTTTTATAAATTTAAGGAAAAACGCTTTAAAATGTGTTGCAAGTCTCATTTTCGTGGTTCAAAGTAGATCGTAATGCTTGTGAGCACATCTATTCTAGTTCCTCGAGGATTTTGTTCAAATCAAATCAAATCAAAAAAACTTCATGATATTCTAAGCTGATACACCGTTTCACAGTATTATAATATTATTATAGTTGAAATCATGAGTCAGTTGAAGCTAGACTACCATGGAAGCACTGGACGGCCGTTTCGTCCCAGTATGGAACTCCTCTGCAGCGCGCATCCACGATCCCATCCCCTGCAAGATTCTAACCCAGGATCTATCGGTCTCGCGTGCAATCGCTTAACCACTAAACCACTGAGCTGACCGGCATTCAACGGTGTTAATGTCTAACTTCAACCAATCCACGAAATTGCGCCACCGTCCACCATTGTCTTCAGTGAATTACTATCTACAACAGACCTAGTTGAACTCCACTGGTCACTGCTTCTCACCAGAACTCCAGGAAATACAATTGACTCATGATTTCAACTATTAAAATTACTATAATATCCACAAAAGACTCTTCTGATATTATAAGATTTGTTGATTATGAATTAACTAAACGATAGTACATATATCGAATGGGACTTAAAAAATATTATTTGGTTTCTCACACATGTTTGTCATTCGATACTCAGTTGCTGAATAATTCCGCTATTTTCGTTACCTTTACATTATTCTATAATTCTAAAACTAAAAAAATACTTACATTCGTTTAAGAATTGATTATTTTGTCTAATCAGGTTTATAACTCAAGGTATTGAATAAGTTTTCAAGGTTTCTATGGGACCACTTAAATTATAATTCACCTTTTTTCAGATAAATCTATTCACTGTCTATCTCTTGTTGATTCTGCTTAATTTTTATGAATAAAAAATAGATGTATTATTACTCTATATGCAAAATGGTTTCACAATTGATTGACTAGACAAACATGACATTGATCACCACCCAGTGATCAATCAATTGTGATTACATCTCAGTCCTACAGGAGGTTAGTCACGGCTCGGATAGCTCAGTGGTAACGTCTCTGACTGTGAAGCTGGGTGACACGAGATCGAATCCTCCAGGGAGCACCAGTTCCCTCAAGATTACAGGTACACCTTGCTGACGAGTGCCAAGTAGCACGAAACCCGGGTCACGGGGTTTCCTGTTGACTACCTCCAACTACCATTTAAATAGCAAAATGGTTTCCATACGTTTCACATTTCTACTTAATCATTGCCCACTAATGTAACTCTACTAAAGAGATAACCAATCACAAATGAGATTGATGTTAACGTTAATTTTAAATTGTGATTTGATTCACTGAAATATTTACAAACACTGTTTTTTGGTTATATAAATTAGAATTCTATTAGTGTATTGACTGGAATTCTGTCTGATAAATTGATTATCGAAAGTAAATGTCAAAGCAAGAAAGTAATCTATGTGTAGACGATAAGTCAGCTACAAAAACTACGGAACCGTCTCGTAAAAAATCACTTGGTTGTTGTGGAGAGTATGGGAGTACTGTAGCTCATGGCCTATTTCGAAAGAAACATTTCAAAGATATATTTCATAATGATCTTAATAAAACTTTAACAACCATAAGTTTGATTCTTTATGGCTTAGGTAAGTTTTTAGTAAACATTTTGAAGTTTTGTTTACTTATGTATTTCAAAATATTGATTGCGTTAAGATGTCATATTACATTTATGAAGTCAGCTGTTTGATATTCCTTAGCAATACGTCATTTTTGTTTATAACAGAAACAATGTACTGATTCGCTTTTCAATTTCATGCTCTTGTATGTTTTAAATTTTTAAGAGACTTTACGTATGCTTCTCAATTGAAAAAGTGAAAATCTTTCCTACAGTAAAAATGTGTTTGAACGCTTTAATTCTGTAACAGAGATAAACAGACAAAGATTACCGCTTGAATTCAATTCTCATCGACATCTGCTGTTACAAATTTAACTTATTTATTCCTAACATCTGCCGAGTTTGCCAGAAACTCATTTTATGCATAACATAGAACTACAAAATTATTCTTTGAGAGGTTGTAAATGTTATGATGATTTATCTGTATGTCTTTATCATAAACGATGACGACTAATCATATTCGGTGTCCAAACACGAAGTATAAGGTGAAGAAGAAATTGTCTTAATAACATAAACAAGCATGATAATAAGTATTAAGTAAACGGTTATGTAACATAGAAAATGACAGAAGTTCAATAAGAGATTATAGTAATTTTATTGGTGGTCAATTACATAATTTTTATTTATTGGAAAGGGAAATTACGAAATTGTGATGACAAAGTAGATCGTTTGAATAACTTTGGTACAAAACAAAAAATAACTGTAGTTGAGAGAAAGCTTAATTTTTGATTCACTAGTACCTACTGGCGGAATTAGCTTTTAAAATGAACTATTTTCCAGTGGAAACTTACAAAACTATTAGTTATTAGTTTATTTTCCAAATGAGAATAGGTACTTTTTCCAAGTCAAAGAATTATCGAAGCTAGAGATAAGATAATTGCTTTGTTTTCAAAGATAATCATACACTAGTTCCATTGGTCTCAATACGTGGGAAACGCTTAATTTCTGAGAGTCACTAGCGTCTGAAAAAAGGTTATTGAAATACTATTTCAGTAATAAATGTAGCTAATCTTTACTGGGTGATTATAAAATCATTAGAAAGTTCGATAGACAGGATTCCATTACAATACAAATTACAAATTTACAGAAGATGCTTGTTAGTTCTGTGTATTGGTGAAATGATTTTCGAATAGAATAAGAAAATATTGGTAGATACATATGTCTTGGCTTTCAACCTTGAATAAAGTGTGAGACTTAAGAACCGTTACGTCTATTGTTTGATTGCTTAAGGAATACATGTTAACCTTATGAATGGTAGTTTTCGATTATTTCGTGAATAACTAAGGAAACGTATTGTACGAAGTAACTGATACTCATACAGCTTGACCCATGGTCGGATGAAAGCACACAAATGATAACTTGTTTCCGTTAAAGTGGGATAACAACTTTTGAAGATGACAATTTGTTTGGATCTGTGCAGCCAATCGGTGGGCCTTACAAGACCTGGTTATTAAGGGTCCATTTTTTGGTTGATCATAATGAACAAAATATCGATGAAGAGCTTGTGAGCCAGGTAATAAATTGTTGTTTGCTACTTTACAACTCTGAATCATGGTAACTTTATCATAAACTTATATGTAATACCCCAACTTAAGAGCAAGGATAAGAGATTGTTCTTAAAGAGAGCAAGAACGAAGATTGGTGCAGAGTAAAATGAACTTATTTTATTTCGTTAGGTTCTCATCAGCTGCTTACAACTTAAACATACGAGGGTGATGAAAAATGAATATATGTATCATGATGTAGCGAAGATTTCAAGAGTTAATAAGGTTAAGATAATAACGGGAACTATCTGTAAGAGATTTTTCATTTAGCTAGATCTGGCGTTTGTGACTTAAGAATGAAAACCACATTTTTGAAGTAATTTTAGGGTTATTTTGTTACCTTTCATCTTAACTGGTTGTTAATATCATGGTTTAGACTTTTAAAATACCACAAAAAGTAACAAGTGTCTAGAAGACGGTGAATGAGCTGGAACAATTGATTTTAATAAGTGATTTCCAACAGATTTATATCTTCATTAACAACTTAACACAATGTCAGTAATATGATCAGTTAAAGATTTAGTATCACTTAAGCTACTGTGTGTTGGAACATACAACGATCGTAGTTTTTTTCATTTAAAGAATTTGAATGATTTAGAGGACAACTAGAGTGCTGAAGACATTAGGATTTGAATTTTGTTTCAAAAATAATCATCTAACTGGGTTTTCTCAGTATAGTCAGATCAAAACAAGTTTACGTAGATCTATTAACTCTTCCTATCCAAACCAGATAGAAGAATTATCGGTTCGTTTTCATTTTAAATGTTTTGTATTTCAAAGAACATATAGGCGCTTTTTGTTATTGCTATGTTCAAAATTAGTCTCAGTTTATTTGATAGTGAATCAATAATTCTGGAGATAAATATGTTTTACTGAAGAATTAGCAGTAAATTAATTGGTGTTTTGAATTGTTAATTTTGTAGATTTCTCTTATGATCGAATATTATCTACAAAATCCAGTGCTTGATTTGATTAATAATTAGTTTTACAATTAAAATAATTGATAACTATTAAGAAATAACACTTAGCATTATAAGCAAAGATGGATAGTGGCTAGCAGTGGAATTCAGGACGCGCGTTTCGCCCTGTCTGGGAATCGTCAGCTGGGTGTACCTGCACCTTCTAGTTGATGTTCACTCTGGGACTCTAACTCGGTACCGTCCGCTTCAAATGTCATCACCTTATCCACTTAGCTACCAAGTCCTGATAGCCACTTGCTTGTGAAATGGCGTGAAGTTTAAATTTACTTAGCATTGTCATATCCTTTCATTTTGTTAAAGTATTTTAATGAAAAACGGCGAAAAGAACGGTAATGTTGTAATATGGAACTTTGTACAGAAATAATAATTTCAACTGAATATCTGTCATGTAACCCTCAAAGTTCCCAAAGCTCATGAATTAAGAAACTGTATTTATAGGGGAAAACCTGTGTTACTTAATTATCTTAATGTTATCTAATCCTTAGTGTTAACAAAATTTTATCCAGTAATTATGTGAAGCATTCAATAAACTTTTCACATCATTTGAATTGCTCATTGATAACATCACTAATTGTGAGCACTAGACAACTGAGATCCCAGCGTGTGAATAGAAATCAGTTTCACGTAGATCTCATGTACATCCTACTCACATGTGTCAACAAGTACAACCTCTATTAATAGTTTTCTGTTATTTGCTTTCAGATATCTGATAAAAAAATCTATTAGCCATAGAAAACATAGTGGCACAAGTCCCACTGTCTCACTGTCTAGATAATTAGGAGTGCTAGTAAGTTCACCTCAGACTTATTAAAAGAAAAACAAATTTGAAACAAACTAACTAGTATTGGGTGATTACTTAGATGATTTCATTGGAGTCTTTTCCTAGATATATGTGAATAGAACAAGAAGTAAACTTGTATGATAGTTGCTTGTAACCTTATTCGAAGTGACAAAAAATACTGGCTGTATCAAGAGAAAACATAATGTAAGAAAACCAAATTATTGACAGAATTGTGGTAAAACCAAAAACCTTTGATTCATTAGTTAATACAGTTTTGAAAATGAATTCAACATCAGACTTTAATATTCTCTTATCTTTTTTTCGTTATCTAAAAGAGTAATAATCTAAACTGTTCAGTAACATTATGTTAGGATAGTCGGAAAAATATACCAATAATTATCGTGTTAAATTTACGGTGGCCTTGAACCTTAAATGTACATTTCCTATTGGTCGATATTTGTTCACTTGTTAAATATTGTACAAAATGTTGTTCTCTATTTTATGGTACGATGTGGTATGCTTGATTGGTATATAAGCAAAGTATGTTTGAAATATAGTGATTCATAACTCAGAGGCGGTGACTTGTGTTCTTGACTCAACTGGCTAGGACAGACAGCGAAGCAAGGCCAATCAGGCACTAGGTCGTCTTTACATGTTTGCGTGTCCACTGTAATCGATCGATATAAACGCTGCTTATCAAAACCTGCAGTCCACCCGTTACAACACATTACTTTTGCTATGTATGAGGAACCTCGAGTCTATTATTATTTGTCTTTCAGGTTGATTAGGAAAAATATTGATTTTTAGTACAACGCATAACTAACTTTCATAACCTGAAATTTTAAGACATGACAATAGAAACTATGTTCCTTCTAATGATTAACTTACTGGTTTACTTACACCTTTTGTCCCTCGTGGAGGAGCATGTGCCTCCTACTAGAACTCTCTGGCCTGGGAAATCCTTTTAATTGCTATCCATCATTTCCATATCTGCTTCCAGTTCTCAACGCATTATGTTCTTTGGTCTTCCTTTTTTTCGTCTCTCCTAAGGATTCCAATTTAGCACTTGCCTGGTGATGCAGATTGGTGATCTCCTCAATGTATGTCTCGTCCACTTCTAACGTCTTTTCTTAATTTCCTCCTCAGCTCAAACCTGGTTTGTTCTCTGCCACAGTACACTGTTGTTGATGATAACCAGTCAGCAGACATTGAGTATCTTACGTAGACAATTGTTTATAAATACATGTACCATTTTGATTATGGTTGTAGTAGTTCTGGAAGATTCAGCAGCGTACAGTAGAACTGCCTTGACGTTCTTATTGAAGATTGTGACTTTGATATTGGTTGAGAGAAAGTTGTTTTGAGTTGCATATGTTGTTCAACTGTAGAGATGCTGTGCTTACTTTGCCAATCCTTGTCTCTACGTGTGCATCAGATCCTCCACGTTCATCGATGATACTGTCCAGACAGGCACATGAATGTTTACAACTAATGTAGAGCTTCTCCATCAAGTGTGATTGTATTGTTGTTCTCCATGTTGTGTTTGAGTATGTTTCTTCCGCCCTTGTTGCAGAGGTTGCTGCTGCTACTACACTACTTGCTTTGACCTGCATTCGTTTGTGTGTATGGGATGGGAAGTGCTAGGTGATCTGTGAATTTCAAATTGTCTAGTTGCATGCCAGTTGTCCATTGTATTACGTGCTTCCCACCAGATGTGGAGGTCTTCCTTAGTCAATCGACCACCAGAAGTAATAGAAATGCTAGAGGGAAAGAGTAATTAGCATTGTCTGATGCCAATCTTCACTTGGAATATATTTGTCAGCTGTCCCCCATGCACCAATTTGCAGTGTAGTTCGTCGTATGAATTCCATATGATGCTGATGATCTTTCCAAGTACTCACTCCATAGTCTCGAAGAAGTTTTCATGCGGTTCTTTTGTTCACACTGTCAAAAACTTTCTTATAGTCAAGGAAACTGGTGAATAGTGACGAGTTCCATTCAATTGATTGTTTAACGATGATCCGTGTTGTCAAGATTTGGTCTGTGCACGACCCATCCTTACGGAATCCGATCTGTTGATCTAGAAGTTGGGAGTTTGTTCAGTCTTTCATTCTATTCAGCAACACTCCGTTGAAAACTTTTCCTGGTACCGATAGCATTGTGATGCTTATGTAGTTAGTTGCCTTACTTACTCGTACTTTCTTTTTTTTGTATCCTGATAAAACATCCTTGTTCCCAGTCTGTCGTCGGCACTTGTTCTTCATCCCAAATCTTCCTGAATAGAACATGGAGCATGTTTACTGTTGCTTCTATGTGTGACGTCATTGCCTCAGGTGGTATATTATGAGATCTTCATGCTTTTCCACTCTTGATTTGTTTGATGACCGGCCATCCTGATTTCTTCAATCGTTAAAGGAGTGAAATATATAGGAAGATTTGTTTGTGGTGTTTCGATGTCCGGCAGGTCCAGGGGGGCTAATGTATTCTCCTGATGTTTAGGTAAGAAAACAATTTCTGAAATTCAAATGAACGACATTGATTAGTAGAGTTCTGTCATATAGATAGTAAAATGGGTGATAGTTGATTATTCAATATCCAGAATTGATTATAGTTTGAAAAGCAACCTAGTGAATATCATCTTATTGGCCTAACTGTAATACTTTAGACACAAATATTAGAGTTTGTTTGAATTTGTTCACTGTGTATGTACATTACCCAGGATACCCGTGATAGGACTAAACAACACTTCGGTGTTTTCTAGTTTTCAGTCTATGATGTAAACTGCATTAAAAGTGAATAATCTCCACAAACTGCCTAAGCTCAAAGTATATCTTTATCAGATAGTCTGATAGATGTTATGTCGTTACTTACAATAAAGTGTTTTGATTTATTATTCTTATTGTGTATTTAATTGTTATAAAATTGAAAAGTAAATATGCAATTTGTACTTGAGTAATTCTAAAGTAATTTTAGTTGTTACAATAATAACATAATTTGCATTGATTTCAGAATACATTTTTTTCAAAAGTATGAATCATGTGTATCGTTTAGCTTATATACTAAAAGTAGCACAGGCTAGAAAGAAGTAAATAAGATGTGTTGTCAATATACGTTTGCTTGTGTTAAGAACTCATTTATATTTTGAAGTAATAAAAAAAATATTTTAAGATTACATGATGTAACTATTCATCATATATAGTGTGTGTGTGTGAATAAAGAACATGAGTAGATCATTTAGTACATTTAAAACAATTTTCATTTATTGTGATAGACAGCAATTTATCGACTTGTGTTTAATAAACATATATCTTCATCTTCAAAATTGAAACTGGTTTACCGTGTTCAATTTAGTAAACTGAATATATTTGTTGTATAAATAGTATCTAGGTTACTTTTAAATAGTTTAATGAATTGACCATTTGAATGAGAAATGATGTAATATGTTGGTAACAGGCATAAAATGGTACATAGAACAAATACCTAAAATAATTTAATTAGACTTTCCTGTTGAAATGACTTGTATGTAACAATCGTTTGGTTATATCAAAGCAGACAATGAACTGGTGATTTGTTGCTACAATTTTGTTTGCCAACTAAATAGTTTAGTAAAAATGATGATAAAATAAATGGATCATTCTTTAACCTAATTAGTGTTAATTCTTTCATTAGGAAATGAAAACTAAACTAATCATTTTTAAATGTATTTTTGGTGTGTAGTAAACAAGCAAGCTACATTAACCAATGTACTGTTTATTGTCAATTATTTTGATTATGGATTCTTGTAAAACTGGTTATGATAAACTTTTTCATAAATTGTATTAATTCGGAATGATGAACTGAACATTTAAAAACGTAATAGCCAACAAAAATAGTGAGAAACATTGAATTTTATCTCTGTAAACTCTGTAGTAGTAGTAGTAGTAGTAGTAGTAGTAGTAGTAGTAGTAGTAGTAGTAGTAGTAGTAGTAGTAGTAGTAGTAGTAGTAGTAGTGGTAGTAGTATTAATAATAATAATAATAATAGTCATTGTAGTGATAAGTTTGATAAATTAATGAGTGAACAAAATGAAACTTGATTAAACAACATCATAAACTTGTTAGATGACTGATTTGTGTTTCAATCAGCTGACATTTAAGTGAAGTTGTAGAGTCTTTCTTACCACTAACTTATAAGTTTGAAGAATGTATTTAAAGACCATTGGGAGGTATGACTTTTTCAAAGTTTTTCTTATTGATTACTCTGTAATTCATCTCCAAGGCATGCAATAAAATCATTATTAACCCAGCAGCTTAAAACTATTTATAATCTTTGTGTATTGAAATTGACGGGTTACTTTTAAGACGATTATGTTATTTAATAGTTGAATTTATCAGTCAATTGAAGCTAGGTCACCATGGAAAACCTGGAAGCACTGGACGGCCGTTTTGTCCTATTATGGGACTCCTGGGTTCGAATCTCGCGAGGTGGGATCGTGGATGCGCACTGCTGAGAAGTCCCACAAAAGGAAGAAAAGGCCGTCCAATGATTCCAGGTTCTCCATGGTACTCTGGCTTCAATTGACTCATGAATTCAACTACTAAGTTACTATAATATCCACAAAACCTCTCTCTGATTACGTTATTGTTTATTGAAAAATAATTGAAAATCGATTGGTCCCATTGTTATTTTTAATCTTAACTGTAATTAAATGTTAGAATAAGTTAGTCATTTCAATGTTTTCATTTCTAAATCGAATAAATAATTACCACGAATAGTAAAAATAGATTTTAGTTCAATTCAGTTTTTGATGTAAACTATAAATTGAATGATCTCCATAAGATTTTGATACAATGGATGATTTATAATATTTTCCCTCACTATGGTACACTACGGAAATACGATAGTATGCTAACAAGATTGATCTGGGGGGATCGAGTTAATGTTAGCACTGGATTGAATACCTAAACCATCCACTACACACAAACCCGATTCATGATCAGGAAGAGAGAACACAATTAACGCTAGAGAGTACATTATTACACACATCTAAAAGCCGTCATTGTCAATGGGTCCGGAATAGAAGTCGATAAGAGAAAGGAAAATAACATATTTTCTGATTATTAAGTTGAATGTCTCTTTGTCCACACTTAGTAATCAATCACATTTGCCTTCACTGCCACACATTAAGTTTAAAAATTATTCGACATACCAGAAGAATATAACATTGGTGTCTTGGAAATATATTCACTAAAGAGACGTTATTCATAGACACTTTGGATGCCGAATGCAAGCTACCACATGTAATAGGTAATATCTTTCGATTAGATTTATTCATGGCTAGCGATCATCTCCAATTCAGTATTTTGAGTTCGTGAAACTGAAACAATTTAAGGATGAACAGAAAAACAGGTGTTAAACGTCTATGCAGTTTTTGGCTCTTAACATGAGTCATATTTGGAAACATCGTCTTTCTAAGTTCAATTTTTTTGAGTTAAACCACGCATAATTGTTCATATTCAATCTTTTTCCCCATTCTACAAATCATGAACTGCTCATCACCAAGCATTTATTCAGATTTAGTCAAACTGTTTGTCATATGTTAATTATTTTAAAAATTCTTACATCCACTCATTGTTTAAAGTAGAGGATATTCATAAGTAGCTAAGAAAATGCATGGTAATTATACAGATAAACATCTGCCAAATCTAAGTTTCTGTCTCCGAGTAACTTCGATTGAGTCTAGTGATATTCAAAAGAAAATGTGAATTCATTGCTTGACATGTCATTACACTATGTAGATACTATTACAATAGTCCCCTAAAGCAAATGGGACTATTTTACATAAAAAAGATATTTACTCGTATACTTGGATTCTCGGTCAAGTGAATTAGAATCGATAAAAAGTGTGTTACCGTTCAACAGATTGTATATTTTTTTATATCCTTCTTATTTTTCTTGTGGATAGTTTAACAAACAAATTATCCTAGATAAACCAGTACAGTTTAGTTGCGTTGATCAAATCTGTGATCGAACCAAAACCGTTTGATTTGTATGTTTTCTTTCAAAGTGATATATTTATTTGTATTTGTGTTCTTCTCATGCTTTATGTACGGTTATGGATGTGGATAACTGTGTATAAAACCAATGTGATTTAATTGTAAAAAAAGGTTTATCATTAGTTCGAGTTTTTGAGTCTGCAAATTGGTTTCATGAATCATGTTTATATATGCATTATCTGTACTTAAATTATCTTGTATAAGTATATAATATAGTGAGTACTCATGATGATGATTATTCTTCTTACTGATGGAGATTTGAAGTAATTATTTGTAAAGCAACATGACATTAGTGATAAATTTTAGGAAAGGAAAGTGAATTAATCCCATTCACTATTTGTTAAAATCATAATTAATAATCTTAGCTGATGAATTTTTACAATCGTTTTCTCTTTAGTTATCAATAGTGATTTGATTCATTTTAATAATAGTATAATTCAATTTGCTTTATAGATTTCAATGTTACATCTTTATGATTGGGTATCATTAGGCTTTGGTAACTGATGAACATATTCTTTTCTAATTAATTTGAGTCCTAAAAGTTTAAATAATAAATTTCATTCCGAGTTTTATATTATGACATTGTACACCAAACTTAAGTCATTGGTTTAATACTAGTCTAGAGTTGTGTTTTATCCATACCAAGGAACACTTGATGAGCACTGATAATTTTGTATAATAAGCTTTATCTTGATTAAATAAAGGTCATGTAGATGGTTTGTCGATTCGAAGAATACTAAAACAAGAGACATGAGTTAAATACATCATTACATAGTATGAATAGACAATTTGACAGTCACATATATAAGTAATTTCAAGTCACCTTAAATTATTATGATATTCATAATTATTATAGTTACTTAAAGTCACTGATATTATAAATTTCAGCATGTATGCTGGATGGAGGCATTTATGTGTCGACTGGTGCTGTAATAAATGCACAAACTGGACCGAGTGCTTTTCTTGCTTATATTATAGCTACTTTTGTAGCAATATTAAATTCTCTGATATATGCAGAATTAGCATGTCATGTTCCAAAAGTAAGTAATTGTTTTTTACCAGTTCTTGATTAAATTAATTGAAAATTATAAAAAAATTCTTTGTTCCATTAATTTCACATTTAATGTTGTATGAATGTCTGATTTGTTATGGAATTGTGTATGAATTGTTAGAATTCTGTAATAAGGATATTGGATCGATTAGTCTATGTCAATCTTTGAAGTAGGCACCTCTGCTTAGACTCATTTTCTATTAGTAAAGATAATCGATGAAATTATTATTGTTTGTGTAAAGTATAGACAAACTATTTTACTTTATAAATAACTACCAGAAACCATTGGCGTAATTTTCCTTTATTGCTATTGTTAAGAGATCTTCCAAAGAAAATGGAGTTTTCCTCAGTAAATGAATTTATACAAATAAGAATGACATGAAATTTTTAAAATTATAAATTTTCGGTTAGCCACTCCCTGATATTTTAATGTGGGACTCCCGAATGGTTAAAATTCATTTTTTGATGGGAACGCCAAAATGTGTCTTTTAGTAATTGGATTAACGAGATAGAATTTATTATTTAAACGCGTGTATTTTTAAAAGTTAAAAGTCTCATTAATATACATTTACTGGTTTTAATTCTTTTTAGGATGTTGCATGTTACGGACATGCACACAGCATTCTTGGTGAACTCCCAGCATTCATAACTGCATGGTCAACGTTTATTGATTACATACTAAGTGCATCACTAGTTGCACGTAGTTGGAGCAACATAATCGACACTTTCTCAGGAAACAGGATCAGTTCGTGGATAATAATTACATTTGGAAGGTAAGTAAACTATCTTAGAATTAGAAACTGAGTGGGGATTGATGGGATTGATTTCTTCAATGAACACCAGTAGCCTAGAGAATACAGGTACACCTTGCTGACGAGTGATTAGCAACAAGAAACTAAGGTCTAGGGTCTGTTATCAACTACTTCTAACCACATTACAACGAAATATAGTTCATGCGATGTCAAGTCACTTAGATTGGTGTCCATATTATAACATGGTAGGCAGAGTTCAAATAGCACTTAATGGACTATACAAGCCTGACATTGATCATGATTCCGTAAGCCGTCAATGTACAAGCGAATATATATGTCAGTCATTTTGTTTGTTGAGATCTGCTTCATAAGGTTGGTACCATTCAGTTATTCCATGATATTAGTCTATTTGAATATACTGTTTAATAAATTCATTGAAATAATTAATTTAATCATCCTGTAAAGTTGTGTTACTTCTTCACTTCTTAATCTAAGAAGAGTAAACCTAAACAAACGAAATCCTTTTACAGTGAGCCTTTGGTTATTTCAATAGTATAGATATATTTAGCGATCAACCGAACTATCTTAGACATTCATGTTAAAAGGAATATTTTTATTTTATTACTTATTTATCCTGTCTTTTTATGACAATGATATATTCACCTTAAAAGTCCAATTACTTTACAGGGTGTAACTTGAGCCGAAAACATTTGTAGGCTTAGTTTAAAATTGTTGAAAATTTACTCATCTAAAAATGTACTTACAAAGGTGGTAAAATAATGTGGTTTGTTTTATTCAGTTGTACTATATTCTCATGGTTTTTGGAAGTCATTTATAGTCAGTATATAATACTATTTAATAAAAAAAGCTATAATTCAGAATAAGTGAATGGTTTTAATATTAATTGTAATCTTTTCTTGTTGTTTGTTTCAGTGTTATTCTATAATTACAGATCAGAATCTTAACATTTGTAGTACCATGAAATACCTTTTTTTGCGTATAAAACGCGTTTCCTAAGCTTTGAAGTAGTCCTATAAATCATCCAGTTTCGCTGTTAATTTTAAATAAAATCAGTAGTGATTGGTAGATTGTGTCCGATTTTATAATATATAGTAGCTCTATTCAAAGCAGTGTGTTATGAGTTACTCTTAGTACTTCAGTTACTTCTGATTTTTAGCTATGGGTTCACGGTTCACTGTAAAGGAAAATAATGTCATGAATCTGGATTGGATCATTTTTAGGGAAGTTTGAGAACTGTTCGATTATTGAATACAACACAGATCAAATAATAATATACAATGATACAATGTGGTTGGTGATAACTCCTGATAAAACTGGATTTTTGATGTAGGCCCCTAGTCGGACAGATTTTGTCAATAAATCAGATCGAAAACTTGCATTGTAATCACGAATAAAAATAAGGAGGTTAACAATCAACGTATTTACATACTTGTGCATTATTTTAGTAGAATCTCATTATCGTTTTGGTGTTAGTTTCATCATAGAAAATTCCTGACTCAACAAAGATGTATGTGTCACTTTATAATAACTGATAGTAACTAACGAGATGATCTGTCTTTAGTCAAAGAAATTCAGTCCACTTACGAGTGATACTATTGTAAGTAATATTCGGTTGATTGATGATCTACCTTTTCAGTGTACACTGAAGTCTCCTACAGTACTAGTAAAAACTAGGTAACTTTTAATGTATGAAATTTGGAAATCTTGTAAGAACAGTTAGTAAAAAAGTGATGTCATGAAAGGATAAAATGGACAGCGGCTAATGCACCCAATAACTATTGATACATTTTTAAGAACACGTAGTCCTTTCTCGTGGAGTTGTGGCACAAATATGACAGGTTGCGAAATATCTCCAATGATTTTATTGATATTCGTAAAGTGAAATACATAAGTTGATATCAAAAGACATTTGTGTATTAACTAGCTATCCTAGTAAACAGACAGAAGTAAGTAAAATATTAAATATTATTTAGGCGTTCTATATTATCCTATTCTATAACATTATACTACCACAACAAGAAAACCGATTACATTTGTGACGTGTTGAATAATCTCAAAAACGTTTATCTGAAGAGTAATGAGGTAAAAAAAAATTCAGAAAACAGTTTAATTCCTTTGTTTCTTCAATATAGGGGAAATATGAGTAAATTTTATAGGAAATTGTGGCTTAATCTCACATTTTAGTTCGAAAACGTGATGTATTTCATTAGCTTTATTGATAATACTTCTACACTTGAAGAGATGGGTGTCTAACCTAAGCTCTACTAGTAATACCAACACTGATTTAGACACTTTTAAGTAATGGTTATTAAAAGAAACGATATAAACTTCATCTAATAAGTTCTTATGCATGTCTAGTGTAGAGAATTTATTAAAAAATCTTAGCATGAATAAACTGTTTTACTGAAGGACATATTTCGAGACGTCAGGCGATAGTAAAGTTTAAAGAAAATTAATAATCCAAAAGTTTTTCAATCGTAGGTAAGATCACATTTACTCAGTGTTGAAGGAATACCAAGTAAATCTGTTGTTAGTCATAAGTTTCTTTAAACAAACAACCAACATTAAAATAAAATAAGCAAACTAATCGATATAGGCTATAGTTAAAACAAAATCTGGGTATCTGCTCTATATCAGCTGATTCGAATTGATTAGCCTGTTTAAAACCCACTATATGATCAATTCTTACTGATTTAGAGACGTAATTAACATAATTACTCATTGATGAATTACTGTCGTTTATTTAGATCGTTACAATATTTTGTATCATAACAATACCGCAGTATGAATTAATGAAGAAAATTTTCAGTCTAAGCGACTGATTTTGCAACATAGCCTTTCTCAAGGTGGATGACTTAGACGTGAAGGTTTATTATAATTTAAAACACGTCCAATTACAATTTCAGAAAGATTTGAGTTATTTGATTTGTTTGCAAGTGTAAAACCATTTGATTCAATGACCCTGAGTGGCAGTGAGTGTTATTGAAATTTTGGGCTAATCCAACGCATTTGATACTTCCTTAGAAATCAGTTAATTGTTTCCTTATCTCACTAGTGGACTTTAAGAAACACTCTGACTTTCCCGTCAATTTTTTTAATCCAATGTTGTTTTATTGCTTAACTACGAGTTTAAAAAACGTTCACCAGTATTTTGTATTATTAAGTGAGAATGAATTCAAGGTGTAGAAGAATTAGTAGCATATTCGGGAGAAGTGAAATGTTATAATATAGACTATTTATAGTTTCACATAGGCAAATCCATACCATGTCAAGCATCTGATCACCAATAATCCTCACAAGGTTGATTCTTTTATTGACATCTATCGGTTTAGTGGAAAAAATTTGTAATACAAACTACACATAATAATCATATCTCTAAGAAATTTTAATTTCAGTATATATGGCTAAATTGTCTTTTTGTTTTTCATTTCAAAAAATTGCTTTTATAGATTATCATCTCCAGATGGATTGTTGTCAGAATATCCTGATTTCCTCAGTACGATAGTGATTCTTATTTTTGGCATTTGTTGTTGTTTTGGACTACGTAAAAATTTAGCTTTGACCGTGATCTCAAGTGCCGTTAACGTTGGAGCATTATTGATAGCTACTATCTATATGTTTATTCATGCTAAAACAAACCATTATTCCATAATATATCCTGGGATTACAACAAATATTAAATATTTTCTACCTTATGGCATTCTCGGTTTATTAAGTTCAACAACAATTAGTTTCAATGCTTTCGTTAGATCCAGTGCACCATCATCACGTGCACAAGAAGTTAAACGTCCTCCTTATAGTCTACCTGCAGCCAGTGTAACCAGCATACTCGTCGTGGGACTCGTCACTACATTATCTGCATTAGCACTGACATTATATTATCCATGGTTTTATGTCGACGCAGAAAATGCATTTTTAAATGCATTGAAAGATAACAAAGAATCTACTGGTGCAAAGTTTGGAAGAATATTCATGTTTTGTTTAGTTGGCAGTGGGTTTGTACTTGGATTACTCACCAGTTTGATATCACCAATGTTGGCCAGTATAAATATTTGTTTAGCTATGGTCCATGATGGTTTTATGCCATTCATGTTTTCTCGTGTTTGCCGACCCTTCAAGGTAATTTTTTAATCGAAAAGTTAATGATATAAAGATATGCACACAAAACCCAGTTGTAATTTTGTTTGATATATGTATATATATGCGTTATCTCAATCAAATTAAATCGCGTTAAATCAAAGGGGCTTTCATCACTCCCCTTTCTTTTATCATTACTTCGAATGCGCTCATGATGACTGAATATTATAAGTTGTGTAGTAATGTGACGTAAAATATACACCAGTGCGCAATAAGATAATAAATAACGCCAGATTTTAATCGACAATGCTAATTGATGTGTACTTATCTATCGAGTAAAATGTAGGAAACACATCAAGTTATTCGGTAGACAATAGGTCTGCATGTTAGGTGGCTGAGGGAAATCGCTAAGAAACTCTAAACTTGGGTTCTTTATGAGACTAATGCTCTCTCACGGAGTTGATACCGCCTCCTTCAGTTCTACGTCCTGAAAAGTTATTATTGAGTTATCCTGGCCTTGACCAACCTCTTATAGATGTGTAGTCATTTGTAATGTCTCATAATGTGAAGTTGAGTATCTCAGGATCGGATCCACCCGAGAGCTTCAGTCACGTTATGATTACAGGTAAACTTTGTTAGTGAGTGTCAAACAGTTAAAAACTCAGGTATAGGGTTTCCTTTCGACTTGCTTCAACTGCAAAACATCAAAACGTGGTGAATGAGAAATATAGTCACTTAAATGAGTGGCTACATTACGGCTTGCTCAATAAAATTTGATCAGCACTAAACGGACTATAGAAATATAATGTTGGTCACATATTAACCAACCTAGTTGATTTAACTTATGTAAATGTGATATTTTTAATTTATCACTAATAACATTCTTATTTGTCTTTCCTTTTTGTCTTCTTTATTCAGAGACCACTAATGACGACAATATTCATTATAATTTTCACATGTTTGTTTAGTACAATATTTACTGTACAAAGTTTGGCAAGTTTTTTAAGTTTAGGCACATTAATTGCCTATTGTATTAGTGCTATCAGTGTCTTATTTCTACGTTATCGATCACAAGCAAATGATCCTGAAGATATAAATGAATATGATAATGCTAATTGTAAAGGTTTTGAAAACTATCAGGTAAATACATATCTAATGCATTTCACATTCACTAATAAACTATTAAATGGTTAATCCACTTGGTATTGTTTTACTTGAATCTTCCCATTGATGTTTTAGGACTGAAATTGATCAGTCTTTTATTGGTATATGTGCATACTGTGCGTATGCCTCGATATTGCCTTAATTTACAAGCATTATAAGCAAAGATGGATAGTGGCTAGCAGTGGAATCCAGGAGGCACGTTTCGTCCTGTTTGGGAATCGTCAGCTGGATGTGCCTGCATCTCAGAGTTGATGTTCACTCTGAGACTCGAACTCAGTACCGTTCGCTTCAAACGCCATCGCCTTATCCACTTAGCTACTGAGTCCTGATAGCCACTTGCTTGTGCAATGGGAAGATTCAAGTAAAACAATACCAAGTGAATTAAACTTCACCCCCATTATACAAGGACTAGTGATTGTAGCTTATTATAACTGACCAAATCATTTGTCGTAAATATTCTGGCTGATTGATTACTGATTATTTCACAACTAGTGGTTTTTGTCCTCTTGTAGGTCAGTGAAAATAAATCGCTAAACAGATTATCTAACCCGTAAATTATTTTCTTCCTTACCTCTTGATTAGTACGTAACCTCATATGTTATTTGGTCTCGAATCCATTTTTTGGTGATTCCATCTTTTCTATCCTCCTATAGACATATATTTTCCATATAACTATATATACAAATGTACAGCTTAAGCAAATGATTTCGTCAAAAAGAAAATTGTCTTTGCTGAATTCTCTTTTCCTTATTCAATATGATATATTTTTACTCAGTTACTTTACATACTTGTTGAAAACTACTCATGATATGTATGTATGTATAATTTGTGATACATCAATTTTGATTTTTCTCTATGAATGTTTTATTGTTTCACAGAATGCATATTACAGTAAGCGAATTGGTCAACCAGGATTCATTAAAAAGAAAATTGGTTTCCGTTTATCTGATCGTATGTTAAAATTTATCAATTCTGGTGTTCCTGGTAGTATGGTTGTTTTTTTAATATCTATTTATGTAATATTGAGTATTGCATTGGTTGGATGTTTGACCTTTGGAGTGTCTGGTAGAATAGCATCATTTATGAAGATCATTGCTACTGTACTTACTGTTTTACTACTCATGTTAACTATCATTTTCATCAGTTTTATTGAACAGTTCAAGTCAAATGATGCTAATTTATATCGAGTAAGTTATCTATTATTAATACTTTTAAATAAAATATTTTCTGTTGAAACAACCTAATCAAAATTCACTTGGTGTTGTTTTACTTGTGTCTTCTCATCGTTATTTAGGACTGTAATTGGTCAGTCTCATGTTGGCTTCATCGAGGCAATCCGCACAGGATGCACATATGGGAAGATACAAGTAAAACAACATCAAGTGAATTTAAACTTCACCCCATTACACAAGCAGGTGGCTATCAGGACTCAGTAGCTAAGTGTATAACTCAATGGCGTTTGAAGCGAACAGCACTGGTTTTGAGTCCTAGAGTAAACATCAATTCTGGGATTCAGGTACACCCAGCTGACGAGTCCGACATAGAACGAAACGCGCGTCCTGGATCTCATTGTTAGCTACTATCTATCTTTGCTTAAAAACCTAATCAAAATATTGAAAGTGATTTTGTACGAAAACTAACATTGACTTGTAAAACAAAACGTTAACTTAGTTCTTTTTCCACTCTGATGCTTATTTATATGAAAACTGAATAGCCAAATCATTTTGGTGTTGTCATTTACATTGAACATCAACATCAAAACGAGGTATAGTTCTAATGATGCTGATATTTAAAAAAATAATTTAAATGATAAATGAAAGAGTGTACCAACAACCATCTATTCTGGCAATAATTTCTTATTATTGATTTATATTTTCATAATTCCTCTGATGAAAAGTTGATATATGATAACGTGTGATGCATGTTAATCCATCATTTTATTACCGTGATGTGAACATGAAATTGAAGTTGACAGAAAAAACTGAGTTCTTTGTGAATATTATAGTAATTTTAATAGTTGAGATCATGAGTCAACTGAAGCTAGACTACCATAGAATACTTGGAATCACTGGATGGTTGTTGAGTTCTATTGTAGGACCCCTCAGAAGTGCACATCCACGATCCTGCCTCATGAGATTAGAACACAGGGGCTATCGGTCTCGCATGCCAGTGCTTAACCACTAAACCACTGAGCTGACCGGCATTCAACGGTGTTAATGTCTAACTTCAACCAATCCACGAAATTGCGCCACCGTCCACCATTGTCTTCAGTGAATTACTATCTCACAACAGACCTAGTTGAACTCCACTGGTCACTGCTTCTCACTAGAACTCCAGGAAATGCCTCTTGATGCTAGTCACTAGTGAGCATATGATGATTATAATCAGAGAACGGTTTTTGTGGATATTATAGTAATTTAATGGTTGAATTCATGAGTCAATCGAATCCTTATATGTTATGAATTAATAACAAGATTTTGGTTAAGTACATTTGGTGACTATTATTAAAACCGCTCAGTTGACTTATACATAATAATGCATTAATAAACGCGATTTTTGTGGTTATTACATAACGTAGACCAAGTATTCTCATTTAGATTAAGACTATCTGTAATTAAGATGGGAACTGACAGGATCCTAAATCAACCGCATTAGAAATTTATTCGACTAAATTTATTTTACAAAACTATGAAACATCTAAATATGAAAATAAATAAGACAATTCATATCGCCAAAATTTCATGTTTGACCGAGAATTATAAGTCATCAAAGTAGTTAAGAGTTACAGTATTGTACATATTGTTCTTAAAAATTACCAGGTTTCAATGACATACATAATTATTAACATTACGGTAACATCTACGTTTAAATCTATCTTCGCGTCCAGTTTTACCTAACATCTATAACACGGGATCATTAACAGAATACTGGCATCTCTCACCTTCTATATTCTGTGCATTTACAAGTTACAAATGTTCAATTATATATACATCCTTATTCATAACTATGTTCTGAGCTCAAATAAAAGTATATACGTGTACTTTATTTGTAAATAAAGTAAGATTGTCACTCGACCATGTTGCACAGTGTTTGATTAAGAATCATCTGACACCTCCATCCTCATAGAGGCTGATGAACCGAATAACACAATATTTATTATTCATATATCAGAAATAATCATTATTCGAGTGGTATTTTCGATTTTTCTTCCAGGTTCCGTTGGTTCCACTGCTTCCTTGTTTTACATTAACGATAAATCTACTCCTTCTTTCTCGAATTTCATGGTTCAGTTGGGTTCGTTATGGTATTTGGATGTTACTCGGTAAGTTGCTTCTCTTTCTTGGATTTATAAGAACAATGTACTAATGAGGACTTTAATACACTAGACTTTATCATAGGGATTAAAATGCAGGTTGATTTTGATTATTATTAATATCGTGAACTGACCCAAGTTAAATGTTTATTGGTAGTCGGTAAGTTCTGGATGCTGTTTCATCCTACTGTATGACTCCTCACCAGAGACCCTGTAAGAGGGAATCAAATGCAGGACCTTTGGTCACACGAGAACACTTAAACTCTGGATTATTCAGCAGGAATTCGGTAGTGTGTATATTTACCTTCAATCAACTCCTTACAGTGTTTAATGGGAAACTGTCTGACACCCGGTGCATTAGAATTGTACCAACCACGGTTTTTCATTAAAATTCCGGAATTACCTCTCGAAATTAGTCACCAATGAGTACATTGTGGATGAACAGTGATGAGGAACTTCATATTAGAAAGAAATGGCTTTCCAATGCTTCATATATGCTAATGAATGTCTAATTTAAATTAGTTCGGGATATCACTGACAATCACTAGTCGCCACAAAACTCAGTGCTGATGACTTCGACTGTGAATTTACTACAATTAGTCTCTTTAGTAGATTTTTATGCAAAAAGAGCAACAAATAATATTTACAAAACCAATCTTTTATACGTAGACCATTCATTTTATAGACTAAAGGAATATAATTTATTGTAAGTAAATTCATAAGCGTTTTTGCTTGAAACTTCTCAGCAATTGTTTGTGTGAAAATACTCTTGCACAGTAGTATTTTAAACAATCACATCGACAAAAGTTATCATAAAATTACAAAGATTTCCTCTGCCATTAACTATTCTATTAGAAGGTTTACCAGATCATATCGAATGGCATCTACAAATATAATTTTCGATCCATTGTTTATTTTATTCATATAGGTTTTTCACAAAATAAGCTTAATTTTTACTTCTGACATTATTTTACTCTACAAATATAGCACATATGTTATTTACTAGGTTGATAATCATGAAAAATATAGATCAGCTGAATATACTAATAAATAACGTTAGATTCTGATTTATCGACCTATAGTTACCTTGTTTGTCGCAAAACTTGAAGCTTTGTAAGTTTGATCTCGTAGGGTGTTTAAAGCTATCATCAAACAGTTGTCTAGTGGATATCAGTTCATAATGAATATTACTTTCAGACAAGTGAAATAAATAATTTATTACTTATATTCCACAGACTATGTTTTCTATTGTTTTGTTTGTAAATAGTCCAAAGTATAGAAAAGACGAAGTTATCGCTAATGTATAATCATTATCATTTCACTTTAAGTATTGTTTTCAAATAAATTAAAGATATGTTGACCACTTTATAATAGTAAAAATATAATATATTTGTGATATCACAACGAATTAAAAACTGAATTTATGGAGTCTTCAAACTTAAGTCAGTTCTTTAAAGAATAGGCAAATCTTTTTTCAATTCACAGAAGTTAAATTAATATGACGAACAGATCATATAGAATGTTTACTACATACTGGTAGGTTTGATCATGTTAATGTTATAACATTCAGATCATGCGTGATTCTGTTTTTGGTGTACACATGTACATGTGAATGGGTGGATAAAATTTGATATTCATAATGTGAACTAATCACTTAGTTTGTATGTATGTTTGTGGTATGGTAGTGAATAAACTGTATACGATTACTTGACAAATTTTTCATACTAATTAGATGGTTACTTTACTTATTTATGCCTGTCACCCCTAATGGAGCATAGGCGGTGGTGATCAATGTAATGTATGTCAGATATTTATAAATGCAGATGGAATCCTATCGACCAAGTCGCAATGTGGCCAGTAACAAAGACCTGACAAACATGGCATTGATCACCATCCATTGATCAATCAATTGTAAATACATCTCAGTCCAAAAGGAGGTCAGTCGCGGCCTCGATATCTCAGTGGTGATGTCTTTGACTGTGAAGCTGGGTGAAACGAGATTGAATCTGTCAGGGAGCATCAGTTATCTCAGGATAACATGTACACCTTGCTAAAGATTGTCAATTAGCACGAAACCTGTTGACCACTTCCGACCCACTCTGTCCTGGACCTTCCTTTCTAGTTCTATCCAATTGTTGTTCATTCTTCTCACGTCTGTCTCCGTTTCTCGGCGTAATATGCTCTTTGATTTTCCTCTTCTTCTTTGGCTCCGAGGATTCCAAGTGATGGCTTGTAGATATGCTGCTCTTGCTTTGTCGATCTGCGCCTTCACATCTGCATCGGATCCACCCTGTTCATCAATGATGCTGCCCAGATATGTAAAGGTTTGTACATCATCCAAAGCTTCTCCGTCAAGTGTGATTGGATTGGTGCATGCTGTGCTGTATCATAGTCTCTTGCTCTTCCCTTGGTGCATGTTGAAACCTACTGCTGCCGAGGGTGCTGCTATAGTGGTCGTCTTCTCCTGCATTTTTTGTTGCGTGTGCGATAGGGGGGCCAGATCATCTGTTACGTCCGGCTGCAACCTTGCCCTCCACTATATCCCATGCTTACCTCCAGACGTTGACGTTTTGACAATTTAGTTGATCACCATTAGAAACAGAAAGGGTGAGAGTAAGCAACCTTGACTGACACCTGTCTTTACTTCGAACAAGTATATGAGCTGTCCTCCGTGCGCGATTTCGCAGTTTAATCCGTCACAGGAATTCCGTATGATGTTGACTGTCTTCTCAGGCACGTCGTAGTGTCCTGTCAACTCTATCAAATGCCTTTTCGTAGTCAATAAAGTTGATGTAGAGTGATGAATTCCATTCAATTGATTGTTCCACAATGATCCGTAGAGTTGCGATTTGGTCTGTACACGATCTATCCTTACGGAATCCAGTCTGGCGTCTACGGATTCCTTCATCCTGTTTAACAACACCTTGTTGAAGACTTTTCCCGGTATTGAGAGAAGAGTGATGCCTCCGTAGTTTTCACATTTGCTGAGATAGCCTTTCTTCGGTATTTTGATCAGAAGTCCTTCTAACCAGTCCGTTTGTACTTGTTCTTCATCCCAAATCTTATTGAAGAGAATGTGGAGTATCTTTGCATTTACGGCTACATCTGCTTTCAGTATCTCTGATGGAATGTTGTCTGGTACCGCTGCTTTGCCACTCTTGATTTATCTGATGGCCATGATGATATCTTCAATTGTTGGTGGGCCAACATTGATTGGGATGTCCGCGGGTGCTGCTTCGATATTGGGTGGGTTCAGTGGGGCTTATTGATTCAAAAGTTTCTTGAAGTTTTCTACCCACCTGTTTCGCTGTTCTTCAATATAGTGATTACTTTGCCTTCCTTGCTTCTCACTGGTCGTTCTGCTTTATGATAATTTCCAGAGAGCTTCTCTGTTGTATCATACAATTGTCTCATGTTTCCTTCTCTTCCAGCCTTTCCTGCCGTCATTGCTAGATCTTCCACATATTTACGTTTGTCAGTTCTGATGCTCATCTTCATTTTCTTGTTTGCTTCTGTGTATTCAGCTTGTGCCTCGGCTTTCTCTGCTTATGTTCGGCTGAAATTGATTTCTACATTCTTGTTCCTTCTTTATTGAATCTCATCCAGTGTATCAACTGTGATCCATTCCTTGTGGTGGTGCTTCTTGTGGCCCAGGACCTCATGACATGTTGAAATGATTACCTCCTTGATCCCTTTCCAGTTGCTCTTTATAGTAGTTCCCTCTCCATTGAGTAGATTGTGAAAAACCTGGAACCTATTGCTGAGGGCTATCTTGAATTCGTTGGGTCTGTCAGTATCTCGAAGAAAGGCCATATTAAAAATTCTTGATATTGTCCGCCCCGTTGTGCAGTACTTCTTGAGTTTCAATTTCATCTTGGCGACCAGCAAGTGATGGTCTGATGCTATATCAGCTCCTCTCTTCGTTCTCACGACTTCCATCGTCCTCCTGAACGTTTTGTTGATACAGATATGGTCGATTTGGTTTTGCGTGGTATGATCCGGTGAAGTCCATGTGATTTTGTGAATGCGCTTATGTGAGAATACAGTGCCGCCTATGACCAGTTTATTGAAGGCACATAGGTTTGCGAATCTCTCACCATTTTCGTTCCTTTCTCCCAGTCAGTCCATGTCGCCCTAAGATGTCTTCATAGCCGGTGTTGTCCATTCCAACCTTGGTATTGAAATCTCCCATCAGAATGGTCAGGTCCTTTGTTGGGCACATCTCGATGATTGACTGCAGCCTATCGTTGAATTGATCTTTAGCGTCTTCATTGTAGTCGTTGGTAGGCGCATAGCATTGGATAATGTTCATTGAAATGCCCTTTTTCTTTGTTTTGAATGAGGCTATGAAGATCCTTAGTTCATGAGATTCCCATCCTATAAACGCTTCTTGTGCTTGTTTTGATGTCATCAATGCAACTCCTTGTGTATGTGGGGCATTTTCTTCTTCATGGCCGTAGTATAACAGAAGCTCCCCTGAAGCTAGTTGTTGTTGTCCAACCTGCGTCCAATGAGTTTCACTGACTCCAAGCTTCTCGAGGTTGTATCTCGTCATAACTCTCTCTGTCTCACACATCGTACGAGCATTCCATGTAGCATTCCAAGAAAGTCGGCTTTCACCATGAGGCGTCATAACTCTTCTAAATGAAGACATTCTAACTCTCAGGTTATAGTTAAAATTGTTTGAATTATGTCTCCTGCTTAGCATCATTTTAGCGAGTTAGTTTTTTATGGGATGGCGTCGTTGACTCCATGCCCTACTCTCCTCCTTTATTCGAGCTAGAGACTGGCATTAACCCCAGAGGAGCTCCAGGCTGCCTTCTTTTATAATGAAAATAATAAGATTTAGTGATATATGAAGTAACTGAGTTGCTCATTTTACCCATAGTTACTAAGACATTTTTTAATCATTCGAAAATTCGTAATATCTATAAGATAGTTGTTGAGTTTAGAATATACGGCTATGGTAAGCTTGAAATTCCCATAAGATTATTAAGACTTCTGATTCAATAGCCAGAGTCAATGTCTTAAATTTTACTGCTAACCATGTAGTGAACATGTACACCAGTGTGGACAATCGAATGTATTTAACACAAAATTACAGGACTTGTTAATAAAATCTAAGAATCAAATAGTAAATACGTAATTTGCAAAATGTCCATCAATTGTCTCAAAATGACTCAGACTTCATTGTTCTTGCATTTTCATACAAATTGCATTCTGTTCCCATTCTTTACTGTTCGATCCTCTTGTTTCTCTGCTACCAGACCTTCTTTTCACGACTAACATCATATACTACTTATGTCAATATAAGTAGCACACACCACAACCATATTGCAAAATATACTAAGGACTTGCTACTTCATTTAGACTTTTCTTGGTATAAGTTAAGTTTTCATTGTTTAATGATATCTGCATGGGTCAGCCAGAATACAACCAACTAATACATATTATTGGATTGGTTGAAGTTAGACATTAACACCGTTGGATGCCGGCTCAGTGGTCTAATGGTTAAGTGCTCGCGCGCGAAGCCAGTAGGTCCTGGGTTCGAGCCCCGGGTGGTGCGGGTTCGTGGATGCGCACTGCTGAGGAGTCCCATACCAGGACGAAACGGCCGTCCAGTGCTCCCAGGTTTTCAATGGTGGTCTAGCTTCAACTGACTCATGATTTCAATCTGTGATAATACATATTAGTTCAACCGAAGTGTACATTGTTTATTCTTCGTGATCAAATTTATTAACATTATAAATTCTTGAATTAATTAATTGTGCATTCCTCCTAAAACGTAATTTAACTAGATGGAGGGTAAAAATAATAATAATAACAATAGTAATAATTACGTGAATTTTATATTCTTAAAGCTTAACAGTTAGTACATAACGTTTTTAATTAATAGTACCCCCCCCTCGACGTACAAATTATTAATTATCTAATTTTAATAAAATTGTATCCATCTAATATTAATTTACAGTATGACATTTCATCAGTCAAATCATTCAATTGACGTAAACCATTTACAAATTATTCATGCAAAAAATTTAGTACACCATCATCACCACCACCAACAACAACAAAAAAGGTTAACAACTAGAAAAAAAAATTAAAAAAAGAGTAATTCTTTAATAAAATACAAGATTACTTTATAAGTCATTTGCTGTACATTAATCTGCCGATTATTTTTTTTTTGTTTTATTTTTGCTATATCAAATTGTTTCCATCTAGGTTTATTAATATATTTCTTATATGGAATTAAAAATACTTATCGAATATCAGAAGAAAATGAAAGTGTAATTTCATCAAATTGTCTTAGTGATATAGAATATGAAAAGAAATTATCAAAAAGTAATTCATCAACAGATGAATCAATAGAATTTGTTGATCCAATCAGATTTTGATCAAATGATTTTCAATATTAATTGACATGAATTAAAAATTCGAGAAAAAAAATTTTTATTTTTATTTTCTAACATCATATGATTGATTAAATGAGAAACAGCAACAACAACAAACAAAAAAACAAATTAGAGACAGAGAGAGAACTCATGTTACATTGCATAGATACATATAGTTCTTTCAATCATTTAAGAAGAGGATAAGAATAAAGTTTATAACAGAATAGTATGGATTCATTTTATTTATTTATTTCAATAGAATTCTGATGTCATATATGTAACATTTTATATTAAAAAAACAAGAGACAATATCATTTATTATAAAGATTTTTGGTTAAATTGTAACTTTCTTATTTAAACAAATCCGTATTAAGTAATTTCTTTATAATCTAATGTTGAATATTTGTGGAAATAACGTTTGAATGATAGCGAGGACAGAGTTTTAAAAAAAAACGTTTTCATTGATAAGTGGATATATATGATTGAAAAGTACTAATATTAGAAACTACTTCTGTATCAGTAGGCTTCAACATACATAAAGGAAAAGGCAATATTCTCAATTACAACACAGAGAGAATACCAAGCAAACCAATCACGTTTGATTGAGAAACTCTGGAAGATGTGGAATGATTCACCTACCTGGGAAACATCATCAATGAACAATGAGGATCAGATGCAGACTTAAAGGCGAAGATTGGCAAAGCAAGTGCCATATCCCTACAATTCAAGAATATATGGAACTCAGAATAACTGTCAACCAATATCAAAGTCAAAATCTTCAATACCAACGTCAAGACAGTTTTAATATGTGCAGCTGAAACTTCCAGAACTACTATAACCATCATCAAGAAGGTACAAGTATCTATAATTAGTTATCTACTCAATATACTCAGCGTACATTGGTCGGATATTATCGTCAACAGCCTTTTGTGGGAGAGGACAAACCAGGTTCCATCCAAGGAGGAAATTAGGAAAAGGCGATGGAAATGGATAGGACATACATTACGCAAATCATCAAACTGCATTACGAAGTAGGCCCTAACTTGGAATCCGGAATGGAAGCAGAGAAGAGGAAGGCTAAAGAATACATTATGTCGGGAAATAGAAGCATATATGAAAAGGATGAATAACAGCTGGAAGGAGCTGGAAGGAGCTGGAAAGGGTTGCCTAGGACAGGGTTGGATGGAGAGTGCTGTTAGGCGGTCTATGCTACTCCACGAGGAGTAACAGGCATAGGTAAGTAATATTGGAAACTGAAGTTGTTTGTAGTAGATTTCAAATCTTTGTTTCTTATTTTGTTATCATCAATAAGAGTGAATATATTCATAGTTTTGAAGAATTGTTGCTGTCAGTTAAAGTGCTAAATGAGGTTGACAACTGTTGCAATGTTTAGTTTTTCCAATGAATTCAATAAACTTACATTAAGCAGACAACCAAACAGTTGGTATTCATTCATAATCATCAATTTAACGGCGTTATACAAACAGATATTGTATAGTGAAAGTTTTGAATAAACAGAACTAGTTTACATAATGAATACGGAAATCTTAAGGATTGTAATATATCATCTAATATGCCAGGTAGACAACGAAGTAAACAATAAGTCAGGCTTTTTAACCGAAATACACTTAACAAAATATAATTATTTCAGAAGACTGTACTTCAAAATCATTTTACTCACAGGAGTCTCACTGGGAAGTTCACAGACAATTTCAAAAACACATGCATCCAACTCTCTGTTTACAGTAATACTCCTCATTTGTTTGAAAAGATATATGAAACGAAGACAGACAGTTTTTGTTTTCACCTATCCTTAAAAATCTCTTACTTATCTCTCTTGGCTAAAAACGAAATATAATATTCTTCAAGTAATGTTAAAAGTATTAGTTTTTATCGTACTTCTTAAATTATGCAAAACATGTAAGATTAGATACTTCATAATCAAGTTCATGATCTAATCATCATTATTTCTGAAGGCTATGAATAGTGCTGAGGTTCGAAAATGTATAGTTCAGTATAGTGTATATAATCATCCAATAAATGTTTTTATTTTGGAACATAAGCTTTCACGATTTGTAATTATTTAGTCATGCTGTTTAGTTGATGTTTTCAAATCAAATTGGCTAGAATTAGTAGGTAATTAGTCACTTTATCAAATTAATTTGTTTAATCTGGTTGGCGGTTTTTACAAGATTATTTCTACGGGATGGAGTTGCCAACCAGATGCTCAAACCTCCTCCTTTACCCAGGCTTGGGACCAACAGTAACTCTGGAAGAGCTACAGGCGGAGTTACTCTATCAAATAGCAAATGAAATGAAATGAAAGTTATATAGGGTGTTGGCATTACAATATCATAGGTTTAATTCTACAAAGCATGTGAGTCAATGACTTGAGATGGTAAGAAACATAGATCAAGATATATGTCAGTTATAATCCAGTCGTATTTTGTCGAGTATACAATAACATGCACCAACATTCATTTTCGTTGCATTGTTAAATAAACAGTTTCCTTACTATTTTGTTTAAAATGGTGCATTATCTCGTTTGATACTGTAAAAGATATTATTTAAAGATATAAAAATAATTATTTCCTACACTTTTAGCTATTCCTAGTAGATACCCTTAGATATTTCTAAAAAAGAAACGATCTTATGGATTTTTCCCCTAAGGTGTAACTTTATTGGCACTTATTATCAGTCAATCTTACAAACATGTATTCTGATTATGCAACTCCTTCAGTTGCTAATTATAAATCACATTTGAATAGTTTAAACTCTATGGACGATTTGAAGTTAAATCTCATGAGATAACCATTTAGGTATCCTTCCCCTTACAGTAATGTAAATTGATTGAATAAATCTCCTAAACTAGTTACTCCAAATTTAATGTTTTACTTTTATAAGTTACTGGTTTCTTTATGGAATAAATCATAATTATTATGATAAACATATAGGTTAATTTCTATTTGCAGGTGAAATGAATTTATATTATCAGATGATATGATAGATATAAGAGTTTTAGAGATGACAAGTAATTGTCATCCTCACTGTGAGTTGCCTATTATAACTTGACATTTTATAAGTAGAGACAAAACTGGTTGCTAATTTGTTTTATCATTGAAATGACGAAATACTAGATAATCAATTAATTAAAGCACTAGTTCGTTGTTTATACTGAAATATGTGAGAATTTTCAATATAGTTATACAATGATATAAAGCTTTAAATTACTTTTTGGATCTTACTAGTCACCAAAAACGTCAAGTTTAGGCAAACTGACAATGATAATAGTCGATTGAAGTGTATGCAGAAAAGATTTTCAAAATAAAGATAGAATTGCATACCAGAAACTATTTTAAAAAATCAGTAAATCCAAATAATCTAAAAGTCAGTATTAATGCAAATTGATATTTAATGACACTTGAAGCCCTGTGAAGAGAAAATGATGGATTAGAAGAGAAACTCCCGAAAATACTTATTTATAGATTGTTAAACACATGTACTACTGAAATGGTTGATAGTAAAGCTGTAGATAATATTTAAATCAAATAAAATCTGAATACTGAAATGATTATTTACTTAAATGGTCAAATAAAGATCAGCTAACTGATTGTTACGCATATATAAGCGAACAATATTGTTTTCGATTAGATCGGAAATAGGTCAATGATTAGAAAAATATAGAAACTGAGATAACAATTATAAAATTATAAGATGACGTAATAAGAAATGCATATAAATATTACTGTATATTAGAGTAAAGCCTGATGAGGATCTAATCGAAAACAATATTGTTCGCTTATATTTGTTGTTCTAAATTTACAATATGGGAATATTTCAACCTTTGAAGTCACGTGGGGATCCGATTGCATTTAAGGTGCTCAATGAGTTCCTAGATTTTAATGTTCGTCCCACTGAAGCGAAAACATCGTTGGAATTTATTAACGATTGTATACGGAATGATAGATGACGTAATAAGAGATGTTCAGATAATTGGACCTTGAAACGTATAGTTGAGAGAAAATAAAGTGGTAGGAGGGGGTGAAGAAAAATAATAAACGAAGAGAAAGTTAGAAAAAAGAATAAATAAATTCATTTATTACTTAAGGCCAAGGGAGAGACAAGGGTGTTACAAATTTCTTCTGAACACAAAGACTTGGCTTGTTGGCTCGGATTCCTATAGCTTCTGCTATGTGTAAGAGACGAGATCGAACACCATAAGGGAAACTAGTGGGAATACGATAAATAACTTTGAACGACTTGTTTCTGTTCACTATATGACCGCTATCGATCAAGTGTGATAGAACCGAGCTGCCTATTGTTTTGACGTAACCTTTTCTTAACCACGAAGGGAGGTGTTCACTAACTCGTTGGTTCAGTTGCCTGGTAGTGCGCCCAATATAGCTTTCTACACAGGTAACTTATCCTTCAATTGCGTAATCACCATCGATGGGGTCGAATACGATAGTCAGAGGTTGGCAGCATTAAACGTTCTCCTTACTGCTCTAGTCAATCTATCCCGTAATACATCGCTAGCTAAATCACCATTGAGTTGCAGCTTCAAGAAAAGCGGTTTCTTATTAGCCGTCAGAGTCACTATTTTCTTGTTTTGTACCCGCAAGTGTTTCTTCAGGAAACCCGGTGGATATCCCAATTCAATCAAAATATTATGAATGTGTTGTAATTCCCTATCAATTGTGTTGACTGAGCATATCTCAAAGGCTCTATTTGCAAGACATTTGACTAAGTTTCTCTTATAATGAAGAGGCACAAAGCTTAAAAAATGTGTGTATTGGCTTGGAGAAGAGCTTTTTCTATACACACCTCTGCTGATAAAACCATTTTCTTTTCTACTTAACAAAACGTCCAGGGAATTTAGTTTGTTATCTAATTCCTCTTCATATGTAAATTTAATAGCAGGATTTTTGTTATTAAATAGTTCCAGTAGTTGTTCTTTTCTAATGTTCTGATCAGCAATGATGAAAGTGTCATCAACGTAACGACAGTAGAAATCCAGTTTATTGATAACCTCTTTGAGAGGTCCGTTTTCTAGTTTCGCCAGAAAAAAATCCGCATCACTATACCATCAATTTGTCTATAATATGTGTTATTAAAGACAAAATGGACATTCACTGTGCATTTTAAAAGTAATTCTTTAAGACTAACCTCAGGAATCCCAATATTGATTTGTTTTTCCTGCAGTTGTTGGCACACAAAATCGATAGTCTCTGTTAACGGTACATTGGTGAACAGGGAAGCAACATCTAAAGATATCATTCGTTTCCCATTTAAATTTATATGTTCCACTTTAGAAATGAAATCGAAGACGTCTTTC